ATGATTATCATTGAATAAACGAGTAAATTCTTGATACTGAAGTATTCACAGTTTGTTTGATTTGTGTTGACAACTACCATACTACCGTACCGTATACAGGTAATAAATTTCCTTTATTTTCATTGAACAATAAATGTGTACCGTATTCTTCTTCATGGAAAAATAAGACATCCCCTGAAAATAAGACCTAGTGCATCTTTGGGAGCAAAAATTAATATAAGATACTGTCTTATTTTCGGGGAAGCAGGGTAGCAGAGGAGAGGCACACCCACAAGGATTGAGGAGTGTTTGCTGAATTAAATGAATGCCATTTCGAAAATTCTGTGAAAGCACCGGTGCCACCACAGCCCTTCAGGTGAACTCCATTCTGGTTACGGAAAAGCCCGTGTTTAAAGGGTAGCAATTTGGGTCCCCGGGAAAAACATCCAAAAAGGCACTGAATACCTCTCCTACTGCAGGCTTTTTCCTTCAAGATAGACAGTGTAAGACCTATGGAGCCTGCCTACATAAATATTTGCTTATTCTCGAGGAAGAAGCCATGGAAATTTACCTGTATTGCAACTCAAAAGTCTAATCCAGTTTCATAGTTAGTTTAAGTGCTTACTTGCAGGACACTAGTTTATATTTTGTGGCTACCTTAAAGGACAATTTTATTAAGTTGGTATTTTTACTCATGTGGAAGAGAGGAGGGAGTAACGGAAAAGCCTCTGCCTAAATTTTCATTAAATAAATACAGGACATAAAGAGCTCAGTAAAGTAATGCATTTGGGAGGAAAGTGAGTCTGGTATTATTACATACTATGCCCCGAGTTACAAAGGAGTGAGGAGGAAGAGCAAACAGCCTGCACTCATATCCCAGCTCCAGCACTACGTGGTGAGCGACTTTGGTCAAGTGGCTTAGCTTGTGCCTCATTTCCTCATCTATAAAATGGGGATGAAATGGTATTTACAACAGGGTTAATATGAGACTAGAAGAAGATATACCTGTAAAGCACATGTGTCAAACACAAGGCCCGCGGGCCAAATCCGTCCCACCAGGCCTTGCAATGTGGCCCGCACCGCGCTGTCATCACTGCACTCCGCTGCGTTTCCATCACAATGACAGTTTATGACTGTTCAGTAAACCATTCGGCCCGCGATTTAGGCTGGATTTTAGATTTTGGCCCCTTCTCTGATTGAGTTCGACACCCCTACTGTAAAGTATAAGAACTAGGCGTGGCCCTGAGTAAGCGCTCCATCGATGTTAGCCATTTTTATTACTATTACAATTAGAACCTTCATCTGCTGACAATCATAAACACTGGACAATAAAAATGAAATAGAAGCAGACTGTGTCCCAGTCTAATAAGACACAAGTAAATTTTCCAGGGTGCCTGGAAAGATATAATTGCTACAGTGAAATACCGAGTTCTAGAAAATCTAGGATCAGTTCTCATCGCCTTCGTTTAATGATGAATTTTGAAGACTCAAATACATTTCAACAAAAGCAATACTAAATCCATTTAAATGTTGACACAGCATTTTCTATTTTTTTTATTTAAAAAAAATTTTCAAATTATCTTTTCTTCATACTTGACTTCAGCTAATATTTGATATGGTCAATAGGGATTCCTGGTACAAATTTAGCATCTAGTTGCTTCTCACTCCAAAAGCGTTATAAGTTACCTCACTTGCCAAAAGCTCACTAGTTATTTAGAAGTACTACAGCCTCATCTTCAGCTCTGATGGACACACTTTCTGCACTGATAACAGAGCCTTACTGTTGTGAGGGAGTTTACATTTTAAGAACCCAAGACAGAAAGACCGGGTAAAGATAGTTGTGTGGCATCCTCCCACAACCACATCAAAATTACATCTAAACCACAGAACAACCATCTGCCTTAAATCTGGATGAATGATACTAGAGAATTAAAGAATAAAGCACATCAAATCTGGTAAGAGGAGCAGATGCATGTAACAGGCTGGTCCTATACCCAAGCATGGTTTTTTTTCCTTTTTTTTTTTTTTTGTTTTTTTTTTAAATAGGGGGCTATCTTGGCTATGGAGATGTCCCATGAAGAGCAAGGGGGCCCAGTCTTACATCAGACCCTCCAATGCTGAGAAAAGAAATCCCCATAACTTTGGGCTGTAAAAACCAGAGGGAATTGTGGCTGAGTGACAGAGGCTCCTGGAAAACTAGGAATTCCTCTTAAAGGGCCAGAACATATATTTACTTGGACTCATTTCCTCTGAGACCCAGCAGCTTTGGGGCAGCAGCTTGAAAGGATCCCAGGACAAATAGGGAGGAACTAATTTGTCTGACATCAGGGCAAAAACTAGGCAGCAGCTTTCTCCCGGACAGAGGTGCTAGAAGAAGTCATTGTTCCTTTGCTGAGACTTCCCCATACAGTGCTAACATTGTCACTATATCTGAGTCTCTGGCCCACACTGTTCACCAAGACCTGGTTATTCCCTGAGACCCCACCCAATTTGTAACCTCACCCAAGTGTTTGCAGTGGCTTTCCCATATGAATGGTCTGTCCTTTCCTAAAATCTCTCAAACAAGCAGCAGCTGGCCTCAACATGTCCCATACCTCATGATAAGTGGCCCCAGGCCTAGCACTAGCAGCAGACAGCCTTGGTTTATAGCTTGGAATCTCTGAGGCACCTTCAAACACAACACAAGTAGCAACTATCTGCAGATCGCACTGTAGCTCATGCCAGGTGGCCCCATGCATGCCACAAGCAGTAGCTGGATTTGTATCTCATGAAAGGCCCCAGAGCCAGTACACCCAGTGATCAGCTTCAGACCATGCTAGATTACAACCCTATCACATCCACATATGACACACTCAAGGGGTAGACTTGGAGAGCACCAAAGCCCCACTGAAGCAAGTCCTGCTTCATAGGGATGTGTCCTGCACAGCAGCTCTTCCACTATAATCATAGCTGTTCCTCACAGCTAATTGGCCTAGGGTCAATCCTTCCCAGTGACAAAATAGCAATCAAGGCTCAACTATAACACAACAGTGCACACAGCTCAGGTGACTGGGAAGGCTGAGCCACTTGGATCTATACGACGCTTACTATAATACATAAGGCCAATCTACCAATTCCAGCAGACCTAGCAGCTCTACCTAATATATAGAAACAACATAGAAGCAACCGGAATGCAGAGACAAAGAAACATGTCACAAATGAAAAAAATGGAAGCAAGCAAAATACTGGATACAGAATTCAAAACAATGGTTATAAGGTTACTCAAGAATCTTAGTGAGAGCTTCAAGAACTTAGTGAGACTTTGAAGGATCTTGGTGAGAATTTCAAAGATAAGAAAGGAAATTAATTAGTCAGAAATTAAGCATACACTAACTAAAATAAATAATAATTTACAGGGATTTAATAGAGGATTCTGAGAACAAATCAATGATTTGAAAATATGAGGAAGAAAAAAAAAAAGCACTCAGAAGAACAAAAAGAAAGAACAACCCAAAAATATGAAGAGAGTGTAAGGAGTGTCTGGGGCAACTTCAAATGTAACAACATCCTCATCATGAGATTACCAGAAGGAGAAGAGAGGAAACAAGAAATTGAAAAATCTACTTGAAAAAATAATAAAACTTCTCTTGCCTGACATATGAAATAAGACATAAAAGTCCACGAAGCACAGAGAGTCCCAAACAAGAGGAACCCAAAGAGGCCCATACCAAGATAAATCATAATTAAAATGCCAAAGTTTAAAGACAAAAAGAGAATCTTAAAAGAAGCAAGAGAAAAGCAGTTAGTTACCTAAGGGAGCACCCATACAACTGTCAGCTGATTTCTCAACAGAAACTTTGCAGGTAATAAAGGAGTGGCAAGAAATAGTCAAAGTGATGAATAGCAAGGACCTACAACCTAGATTACTCCACCCAGCAAAGTTATCGTTTAGAATTGAAGGTCTGGTAAAGAACTTTACAGACAAGAAAAAGCTAAAAGGGTTCTTCACTACCAAACCAGTATTACATGAAATGTTAAAGGGTATTCTTTAAGAAGAAGAAGAAAGATTAAAAATATGAACAATAAAATGGTAATAAATACATATCTATCAACAATTGAATCTGAAAATAAACAAGGAATCTAACAAACAAAAAACCTGATATATAAAATAGAACCAGAGACATGGAAACATGGAACAGACTAATGAATCTCAGAGGAAAGGGGAAGGGGGAGCAGAAAGAGATTAATCAAAGAACTTATATACATACATGCATTATCCATGGGCACAGACAATAGGGTGGTGAAGGCCTGAGGAATGGCAGGATCCAGGTGAAGAAGATAATTGGGGGGAGGAAACAGGATGATAATCTCAACAATAAAGTTTTTTTTTAATAAAATTTTAAAAAATAACACCAAAGGCAAATATCCCTAGAACCTAAACAAAGTCAAGATTGAAATATATAAAACTAATCACAACTAAATTAAGAGACTATGTGCATTAGGAGATCTATTTGGGGCCAATAAAATAACTACAATCTTCATCATTTTTTAGGTTACAAAAATTTGGCTGCTCTCTTCCCTAACTAACTAAACTGCTGCCACCTCATACAGATAGTGATGCCCCAACCCCCTCCTGCAGAAGCTGATGAAGGGTTGAAAAGAGACCAGAGCAGAAGGTTGACCATGGCAGGATGGAGCATCAGTGTGCTCAGAAGAACCAGGGTAGGTTGGTGGATTTTGTCACTCAGCTCCGGACTCTCTAATAGCAGCATTAGTCTCTGTGTTTATGAATCCAACTCTCCTCCCAACTTCAACACACACACACACACACACACACACACACACACACACACACAACCATTATACCTACACAGGATAGATGGGTAAATTGACTTAGGTCAACTGATAAAGTGCTATTCCACGCAAAGGGCAAGTACAGAATAAGAAACCAAACTCAATAACCAAGAAACTATTGCACAACTGAGCAATATGCTGAGTGAATTATCTGGACCCAAGAGGAGCAGAGAGGATTGTGAGCTTACCAAGAATAATTCTTGCTGAAAGCTTCCGGCTTCCAGACCATGTTGTAAGTACATGGGACCAGCTCTCCAGGAATTCTGGTGGCAGTGTGGTTAGTCTGTTGCTTGATAAATCCAAGTAGGTGAGGTTCTTCAGGTACCTGGCTGCCCCATTTGGCACACTGGTTATTTGGTTGTTGTGCAAATCCAGGATTCTTAGACGGGGCATGTACAGCAGAGATGCCCAAGGGAAGGCAGCTAGAGAATTCCCATCCAAGCGCAACTCATGCAGCTGCCCTAGGTTGTAAAAGCTGCTGGCCTCAAGGCTAGACACAGAATTGTAAGTCACCCAGAGGTACTGGAGCTCCACCAGGTAGTAGAAGGCCTCGGCGGGGATCGTGCGGATGACGGTCTTCTCTATGCGAAGCTTCGCAGTGTCCACGGGGAAGTTCAGGGGGAGCGCATTCATATCTTGGTCGTTACACAGCACTGTCCTAGTGTCACAACAAGAGCAGTGGGAGGAGACCTGCTTTCCAAGACCCATTGGAAAAAACAATGCTCATTCGAAACATGCATCAAATGAAAACTCCTTACTGGTTTTCACAAAATATTTGTGGAGCCTGGTTGACCTGTTCATTAATAGTTTGCCATCATTATCCTCTTCTATGTTAAACCATATGACATAGCCATTTCTGTAGGTTAAAAAATGATCAAAGATAAGAAATTTCATACGGCTCACCTACTATTGATGAAGTTCTTTATAAGTCAGGCCTGTCCATCACACACCATATTCATTACCTTATTTAATTGTTGGGCAGCCCTGTGAGGTAGAGGCTGGGTAAGAGGTAAAGGCACCAGCTCTGGTGTCAGTTTGATTTTGGCTCAGATCTAAGCTCATGCCATCTCTTTTGTGGCAAAGTCCATCCTCACCAATGGCCCCATATAGGATGGTCAGGATGGTTCATGGAAACGCATGTAAAGTTCTATACCTTCCTGACACATAACAGGCATTCAGGGGGTGCCTGCTATTTTTATCATCATTCTTCTTTTCACAGCTAAAGTAACTGAGGCCTATCACCATTAGGGAACTTGCCAAGGTTACATAGCCAGTGGGTCACAAGCCACCTTCCAACCCACATTGGTCCAACTTCAAAGTGCACTCTTCAACTCTTCACGAAGTGGCCCATTTTTAAAGAATCCCCTGCTGAAGTTATAAATTGATCTCTTTTAAGGAAGGAAGGAGCAAGTATTCGCAGTAGAGGCTTAAAGCTGAGCTCTGTTTTAACAATGTGACTTGGGCATTGCTTCCAGCCCAAGGAATAAACCAGAAACTGCAAGTTTATTACGTTCACCACTCACTAACTTAAGTGACCTTGAGCAGGTCACATTGTGACCTTGCTTAGTGACACATGTAAAATAGGCATAGAAAAAACAAGCATGTCCCATGTGTAGGTATAAAATATGAAGAATCAGAGAATTTAGATACATTGTATTATAACTTTAAATCTATTAATCTCCTATTGTATACTCATTTCCTTTGGACTGCTGAAAATTAACAATGAAACATAAATTATAATGCATTATACATGTAGTAAACAAATCAGCCATTCGGTGAAATATATCACATTAAATGGGTGAACTTTAAAAGCAGCCTACCAGGTAAAGAGGGGTAAACACAGCGTAAAGCTGTGATGTCCTGCTAGCTAGCAACTCCTGTCTGTAACTTCAGGGGAAGACCATTCGGAACTATCAGAATTCTATGAGGACACTTCCTATTCTTCATCTCTACTCTCTCTATCACAAATTTCAGTGCTACTTGAGACCAGAATGATCCAATTTCTACTCATTAAGTTAGCATTCCAGTGTAATGGAGGAAAGCCTGGATTGGAAGCTGAAAGACCCCGTGTCTTTATCAACTCCGAGCAGTGACCTTGCACAGTCCTTTAGCCTCCACATGGCTTTGTTTCTTCACTTGCAAAACAACAGCAGTAGAAATAAATTCTTTCTAGAGTTCTTGCCAAGAATAATACACTACGGTTTTCATAAAATCCATCAATAATGGGGCCACCATGGGGAAGGAAACATTTCTGTGTTGTTTCTTAAGTACCCTGGCGTGAGCTGTTAGTGCTACCTAGCTTTTGCCAAGTTAGGCTTTTTAATTTGTTATATTCTTCTCACTGTCTTAAACCACCTAGTAAATCTCTCAAAAAGATACCAAGAGTTACTAAAGTTTATAGAATAACAAGACAAACTACCCAATAATATGCTTAAATTTTTACTAATTTGTTTAAAGGTATAGAACATAACTTGACTGACTCAACAAATTAAGAGGCTCACTGTTCAAATAACCTCAAAAGTCACAAAACCATCAACCAAGTCACACAAAACATCTGATTTTGTCATTAAATATCCTTTTAAAAAAAATTATGGTCTACCATGGTTAGCTAACAAACGTTCCTTTTGCATTTAACTTCTATCTCAAAGGACTCATGTATATTATGAGTATTTAATTATTTTTCATTCACAGGTAGATGTTAAAGCAACCCAGAGATTAAATAACTTCTGTGAGGCCCTACAGTGTCGGCAACTGATAGAGTTGATTCGTATCTTTCAAACCTCCTTTCTTTGTAAATTCCAATATCTTAAAATGAAAAATTCTAATTATGAATGTCTGTAATTTCACTCTTATAGGAGTTCTTTCTGTTTTCTAAAGTCTATCTGGTTGGTATGAATAACCCTCAAAATGAAATGGAAAACTCGGGAAGCAAATGATCTGGGCACCTCCTGATCGGCCCTGCTTTCTGTATCAGGCTGAGTGGGCCACACACATTTCAGCTGAACCTCCTGAAGTGAACATTTTCTGAACACAAGTGCAATGAACATTTTTGTATGTGTCTGAAGCTCTCAAATAAAAATTAGGGGCTTTTAAGAGCTAAATTTCTGAAAATAAAAGCGTAGAGTTAGCAAACAGTATTAACACAACTAAGTTAAAACTTATGTAAATTAAACCTTCTCTCCTCTGACTTCTGATCAACAGTTTGCTTTCAAATAAGGATGATAGTGGAGTCCCTTTCCTCAGAATCATTAGAACACTTAGTAGCATACCTTGATCCCGTGCCATCATTTCTGCCGTGATAATCGCAGGTGCACTGTGAAGGACATAAACAACTCACTCCTTCCAAAAAGCTAAGCACAACGCCCAGACATGTTAAGAGACGCATTGCTCCTTTTAGAGGTTATTGGAACAAAAGGTAAAGACCAAATCCTAAGCATTCAGAGGCTGGTGTGCCTGGAACACAAACAGCCATTTAGTAAGAGCAGATTACACAGGATTAGCTGAGATCTCTAGTTACTACTTAACCTTCAAGTGTATTTTGCAGGGGTTCAATCTTCCTAGCCTTTGAATGTGGTTTCAGGAAAGTAACACGTTATAAAGAAAGTGAAAACCAAACAAGTTAAGAAAATTTCAATAGTTGCTTGTATCTAGATTTGCAAGGAAATGTCTATTCAATTCCTTTCCTATGGATGTAATTGCTAAGTATGTACATGATATAAAATTGATTTAGAATAGAGTTATCAATATTGCCAAGTATTGGCTATCTTCAAAAATAAAGTAGACAAAGTCTGGTACCTAGATTTTTTTTTTTTTTTTAGACTAAATGCCTCAATCCACCAGTGAAGGATGGACCTAGGGCTCCAGGGAGTGTGTCCTGTGGCTCGTGCAGGTCATCTCAGCACAGTGTAAGGCTCCTCCCAGCTCTTATTCCCACCAAAAGCTACTGTCTCTCTTTATGAATATGTTTTATTCTAAGCCCTTTTCCCAAATTATGGGCATCAAACCATAGCTAAAGATGAACTGGTATGTCTTTTAGCAAAGTTATGCTCTATCAAAAAAATAAAAAGGTAAATTGAAGTTAAAAAATTACCTGAACACCCGTAAAGTGGGAAGAATCCACAGGCATAATTAAGGGTTTATGTGTTTATATTACAAATCTATATGGCACTTAATCTTCCTATTAAGTGGTTCTATCCACCTTTTTTAAACCAAAAACTCTTTTAAAAGAATCAATTTTATAAAAGTAAGAATACTATGGAAGATATTATTTAAAACTAATAGAACACATATAGAAACCATAAAATCAGAAGAATTTGCTCAATTAAAATAAAATACTATAGATTTTAAATGTTCACTAAACAATCGTGTATTAGCTTGCTATGCTTAATAGTTATTTAAAGTGGCAATTATGTGACTACAAATTTACTCAACATTCAACAAATATTTTATTGAGTGCCTACTATGTGCCAGGCAAAACAGGTGTGGTATGCTCAGGACGTATCAAAGAACAAACATACAGCTAAATTAACAGGCATAAAGTTTCAGTTAAGCAATATGAATAAGTTCTAGAGATCTGTTGTGCACTGTTGTACTTATACTGTATTATACACTGAAACATTTGTTGAAGGGGTAGATCTCATGTTATGCTCTTAACACAATAAATTCAAACAAACAAAAAGATAGGGGGGAAAAACATACATAAACCCCCACTCTGACTAAACTTCATTCTAGTGGTAAATATACAGAAATGCACATATAGAAAAATGATAATTAAAAAGCAGATTATATAATAACATGCACAGAGATTATATTGCTATATAAAATATATATGCAATAACTGGTATGTGATTTAGAAAAATAGGATTTAACAGTCCTCTGATCATTTTTATTAAATAGTATGTTACTAATTGCATTAAGATTTTAAAGTTGAGAAATGCTAACAACTCATTTCAGTAATTATTAGCTAATTAATTATGATTTATTAACTATTATTATTTTTTAATATATTTTATTGATTTTTTACAGAGAGGAAGAGAGAGGGATAGAGTTAGAAACATTGACAAGAGAGAATCATTCATCAGCTGCCTCTTGCACAGCCCCTGCTGGGGATGTGCCCACAACCAAGGTACATGCCCCTGACCGGAATCGAACCTGGGACCTTTCAGTCCGCAGGCTGACGCTCTATCCACTGAGCCAAACCGGTTTCGGCTATTATTATTGTTTTTTAACATTAACATAACAACTACTTCTTGTCTAATGAAGGGCCCAGGCAAGATACCAGGCCATCGGTACAGGGTATTGCATGCATGATAGGGAAAAAGAGAATCATGTGCCTGGATTCATCAAAGGAGATGAGCAATAAGTTTTTATATAAAGATATAAAGAAGCATTCTCTACAGCAAATGCACAAACAGAAATATAAACTACATTTAAGGAATTCAGTCTATTAGGATAATAATGTATGTCTGCATTTGATCTAAATGGCCTCATATTTTAAGTAAAATTAAAACATTGCCAAAAAAAAAGTAATCAAAGTATATTAATAACTTGTGCTTTCCTCTTATTTCAGATTCTTCCAGAAGTCAATGGGCTTGATGTACATCCATTGGTAAAAAACTCATCATGGTCATAGTTTGATGAGTCTGACATTTGAACATGGCAAACATTGCCCTCCGAAACCTACAATAAACAGGGGGAAAGCTGGCATTATTCTATAATGATTTGAAATCCTGTATAATAAAAGGCTACTATGCAAATCGACCAATTGGCAAATGACTGGTCACTATGTAGCACACTTACCTCCAGGGGGCAGATGCTCAACACAGGAGCTGCCCCCTGGTGGTCAGTGCGCTCCCACAGGGGTAGCGCCACTCAGCCAGAAACTGGGCTCACAGCTGTCAAGCACAGCAGCATGCCCCAAGGACCCCTGGACTGCAAGAGGGTGCATGCTGGACTGAGGGACCCCTCCCCTAAGTGCACACATTTCATGCACCAGGCCTCTAGTTTTAAAATATTTTCAAATATGGCTACGTTGCCACTACTGCCAATTGATATCTCCAACTTTAACATCTCCTGCTGTGAACTTTTATAAATGTAGAAAGTATATGGACAGTCAAAGACCAATTTTGTGAAATATTGAAGACATTTGGTAAAAATTAACAATTATATGTTTAAATGATGTTTCTAATATCAATTGCAATAATTTATTTACTTGAACTAAAGTTATGCATTTCATGCATCCGTTCTGAGCAAGGTCAGCTGAAATTAAAGGGAGTTTGAGTATTACCGATCTTTCCAAAAGAACTACCAATAGGCTCTGAATTTAAAATGTATTCTTTATTCTTCTTATGTGGTCTGAATGGTCTTAAAAGTTTTTCTGTTTCTTCACATACCTGTAACTAAAGCTGATCTCCCAGACATGAGCATAAATACGTAGGTTTCATAGAAGCAGCACTGGCATTCAGCATCAAATTACTTGAACTCTACTAGGATTTTTCTGGTCAAATATTAAGCACAATAACTTGGTTCATTCCATCTTTCAGCAGCAACAGAAAACAAAATAACTTAAGCTTCAGGGAGGACGCCAGAAAGAAATCCTTACTGAGGACCCTGACAAAGGGAGTAGGGTTCTTTCTCTGTTATCCTGAATGACTCCACCCTCCAGAAGCCCTTCATGTTAGCACTGGATTTTCATCTCACATTTGAACAGCATGTCTGCTTTCTAGTAAATATATGCTCCCCATTTAGGGAGTCCAACATTGCTTTACTTTGTCCATGTTCTAGTAACAGAATCACTCTTTGCTTTGAAATACCAATAGCATGTATTTTGGGAGGGATAACCACAAGAACTCGCTGAGCCTACCTCCCAGCAGTTTTTCTGCCAAGGACCAGGTGAGATGAAACTCGAATTTGGAGCTGCTTGGCTGGTAGAACTTGGGTTTGGGGCTGCTTGTGACCACCTTGCCTCCATGTGGGAAGAACCTATCACAGATCCAGAGCTCCAGGCATGTGAGGTTTCCAGTTGCCTGAGTCAAATAACTTGTACACTAGTTCAAAGTGAGTTTCTGTCACTCACCTCCCCAGAAGTCTTACAGTATCATCTATTGCCTTTTTAACATTCTTTCTGTATCTGTTATTTTGTTCAGAAGCATTTCAGGCATTACTTACTTTTTGTTAGCAACCACATAAATGCAGGGGTTGTAGAATGTAGAAGACTTTGCAAACAGCGGGGCAATGATGGCCAGGGAGGGGGGGATCTTCTTTGGGTCCCCAAAAGAAGCCCATAAGCACACAATCGAATAAGGGGACCACGCCACCAGGAACATGAATATCATTATCACAGACATCTGTAAAAGAAATCAGCATCTGCCAAACCCAATATCTAACTAGCTAACATATCTAAGACAGCATAAAATTATCTAGATTAGAATTTGAATAAGTTTATATTGTCATCAGACATAAAGGAAACACACACACACACATACCACGTGCTGCTCTTTACTCATGTGCACATAAAGAAGTCACCTATGATAGCAAGAGCTTGTGAGGATACCAGGTGGCACAAATGTAAAGAAGGCCTCCTTTCCTTTGGTATGCTCGGGGAGAACACAAAAGCTCGCTTTGATGAAAAGCAGATCTATACCCGTTCCTAACCCATTTCTAGGAGCTGTGCTTAGATTCCTGGCTTA